TACCGAGTGAACCAGGGCCCGGCCTTCAAGCAGCGACCGGGTCTTCCCTTGGCCGACCCCCGAAGGTGTCCGCGCGGGGAAGGCCCGTAGACGATAGCTGGGCCAAGTACTAGTGGTTTAATACTACCACTTAATTTAGGTTTAATGTAGGCTGTCAGGCAGGCAAGCAACTCAGGCGACTCTGTAGCTCTAGTGCCCTATTTCTGTACGTCGTAGTTGAGCCCTGCAGCTGTCTGTCACCACAATTATATGTCTGATCAAACAAACAGCTATAATGTTCAGGGACGCTGGACCTGCTTTCCAGCAGGTGCTGCTTCCCACCAATAGACGGAGCCTCCCCCGAGAATGCTAGTGGTGCCTGCTCGTACCAGCACCCCTAGTATCCACTCGGGTTGTGCATTGAAAAAAAAACCTTCAGTAGAGTCACAAAAAAGAGTTGTAATTGGAGTATGGGGCAAGATACAGTTTGCAATTGCACTTCAGGCACCCTACCTGGCCAGAAAGCTGGTTTGTATACATTGCCTGAACTGCAATTCGAAACTGTATCTTGGCCCATAGTGCAATTATAACTCATTTTTGTGACTCCGACGTAGTTTCCCCAAAGAAGGAATAAAAAGAAAACGTCCTACAGTAGTGTGAGGGCATACTCACACGGGGACCAAAAGTCTCAAAAATTTGAGGCATTTGGTTCGTTTTTTTTTTAGGCATTTGGTCCCCGTGGGACCTCGTCCAGAAAGTACGAAGTTGCGACCGTGACACTTTGCACTCAGGGCAAGTGCGCCCGGTGACACGGGGGAGGACCAAACAACGTGTGGGCCTTCGCTACAACGTAAATGTTTTGGTCGCACTTTCAGTCGTTCGGCGGGAGTCTTCTTCGACTATGATTCTCTTCAAACAAAAAGAAACGAAAGGTAATTTGAGACCACCTCTGGACGTGGTCTCAACAAGGGTCCGCCCGCGGCCCCGCAGGCCGCTGACAAAAGGGTCACCGTTTGAGTCATTTGGGTAGCGGGCCTCTCCAGTGTGACCCGAAAACTGACTCAAATGTATGCATCCTGTACAGTCTATGTATGCATCTGTAGTATGCCCTGAGCCCTGAGTATGCCCTGAGCCCTGAGCCCTGAGTATGCCATTTAGTCTCCTTTTTTTTTTAATAAAGGTAAGCTATATTTTTCTCTCATCTATTTCATCATTCTTGGTAGTAGGCATCTGTAGTCTATGTATAGTGCGGGGGAACATCAACCAACCAACCTGGATCTCTCCCCAAGCCCACGGGGTAGGTTGGCACCACAGCTGTGGTGCGACAGCAAGGCTGTATTGCTGGGCGCTAGCACCGCCGATTTCCCCCATGGGCAATGCCCGCCCACCCCTTTCGTCTCCTTTTCTGAAGGTGTGTTGCTGAATACATAAAGGGCAGGATTATCCAGCGGCCTATCTCAGTTGGTAAGGCACACAAGTGGCATTCAGGAGGTCTTGGGTTCGATCCCCATTGCCTCATGTAACTTCCTGGGCATGCTTGGCGCCCGCCACCTAGAGATAGCCCGTTGGTTCCCCCAATTGGCATTAAAAAAGCAGTCTCTGCTGATGTTCATAGGGGGAGGGGTAATCGGGGAGGCACAGCGACTGGCCACTCAGATGATGCTCGGTCCGTCTGCTACTGGCTGTCCCCTGGCCGGTGTCACCCATTGGGGGTTTCCTGAAGGCAATCAAGGCCACCCTGGGCTGAAAAGGCCACCCGATGTCAGATTAGACACAATATTAAAAAAAAACAAAAATCGAAAATAAATAAATAAAGGGCAGGATTGAGCGCCTGAGTGACTCACGGTCATTCTGTCTCCTACTGACTCTATCTCAAATGACTCTGACCGCATTTACGGCCGCCGTGGCCTGAATCTGGCTAGAAAATTCCTAGTGCCAGTATGCCAGCTATTGCATTTTGTATTTTTCTAGCCGCTCCGCATGTCGGCCCTTCCTCCTCCCATTTTTCTTGACGTTTTTTTCAAAAAAGAAGGAAAGGCTCATGGAATGACCGTTTGAGATGTCCTGCCACGTTTCATCGGAACATTGCTTCCTTTGCTTTACCGCCAATGGGATTGTTCAAAGTGGAGAGTAGTGAAGGTATCAAGGCAAGCTATCGAGGATCTTAATAGCGAACAGTTCTCTCATTTTTTTATTTTTATGTATAGCGAACAATTGGACATGGCGGTAAGAAAGGAGATTCGAACTGCTGACGACCAGCCACTCAGGTAGGGCTTTTCTTTGCCGTTGTTCTTGAACCATAAAATGGCACAAGGAATGACCGTTTGGACGTGTGCCTGCCACTGTTCCGTTTTACCGCGGAAGATCCCTTCCCTTGCCTTCCCGCCAATTGGTTCCTCTCTTTTTCTTTTCTTTTCAATTGGCTCTTCCAAATCATAAGCGCGAGGAAATCGCGGGTGTGAGCGGGAGCGTGAGTGGGTTGAGTGTGGTGTGTGGGAGAGTTTCGGCCATAGCCACTGCTGCTACTCGAGGGGGTGAGGGGAAAAGATGGGAGGCGCAGCTACTGGCAAAGTGCTGGGTCTTTGCGTTAGCCAGCCCCCCCCCACTGGCGGCCCTACCCTATTCCCTGACCACCCCTGATTAGGGCAGGGGGCAACGTAGCTATGCTTGCAGGGGTCCCCTGCCATGGCCTTGAGGTATTATTATCGACTAACCAGCCCAGGTAAATTCAATCTTGTGTCTAATCTGACAACGGTGGCCTGATAGCCTTAGGGTGGCCTGATAGCCTTCAGGGAACCCCCAACGGGGGGACACCGGCCAGGGGATAGCCAGTGGCAGAGGGACCGAGCATCATCTGAGTGGCCAGTTGCTGTGCCTCCCCGATTACCCCTCCCCCTATGAACATCAGCAGAGACTGCTTTTTAATGCCAATTGGGGGGACCAATGGACTATCTCTAGGTGGCGGGCGCCAAGCATGCCCAGGAAGGTACATGAGGCCAATGGGGATTGAACCCAAGACCTCCTGAATGCCACTTGCGTGCCTTACCAACTGAGCTAGGCCGCTGGATCCCTGTCTAGGCTTAGGAGTGGTGGTAGGTAGATAGTGAGAGGTGAAATTGAGAGAATAATATGACTTTGTTTATATATAAAAAAAAAGGGTAGGTAGGGTGCAGTCACGAGAGCAGTTTCCAAATGCACCACAAACTGCGTTTTAGCAGTCTAGTCAGGGCCCGAGTTCCAAATGCAGTTTTTTTTTTTTGTTTTTTTTTTTGTTCCAAATGCAGTTGGAACTCCGCTTTGCAGAAAAAGTCGCAGTGCGGAGTTTGTAACTGCAGTTCAGTCAGGCACATGGCATTTTGTTTCTTTTTCCAATATCTTGTGCGTGGCTGAGGCATCTTGGCCGTGGCCCGGGCACAGGAAGATATGCTTTCTTTGGGGAGGGGAGTATACATTGCCTGAACTGCAATTGCAAACCGTATCTTGGTCCATACTGCAATTATAACTCGTTTTTGTGACTCCCGCGTAGTTTCCCCCTTTTTTTTTCCGCAGGTGTGGCCTAGCCACACGAAGAGATAAAAAAAAAAACAGAGCGTCTCGTCGCGTGAACGGACCACGGCTGAAATGGGGGGTTGGTCGTCCCGCTGATTGGCGGTGGGCTGTTTAGGGATTAATTAGCAGGAGGTCAATCCTTCCCTGCGCAGGGAAGTAATCAATGCCCCCCCTGACAGTTTCACATGTTAATGCATAGTGGATACTGGACTCGACGTCCAGATCATACATTTCTCACCATTGATAGAGCTTTGTTTTTTAGGCTTGATTGACAAAAATCATATACATCATATCGTGCTTAGGGTTTCGTGATTGGATTTTGATAGGTATCGAACAAAGCACTAAACAGGCACCATCCTGCCAAGCAGGAGATGCTATGGTCCGACCTCGTCGAGCCCGCCGACGAGTGCCATAGGGGGTTCAAGCTGCCAAAAAAACACCACAAAGCAACCTCCGGGGCAAAAAAACAGGGGGAGGAAAGGGCCGTGTCCATCCTTCTTGCTGCGCGCCTCCTCAGCGTTCATCTCACCACCACCATCGCCAGCAAAGACGAGCCGCGACCGGGAGCGCCGCGCCGCCGGCTCATCTTTGCTGGCTTTCGGAGGTGGCTTTTGGGTGGGCATGGCAGATGATCTCTGGAGGCCGGAACTGTGGACATGGTGGTGGTGAGATGAACGCTGAGGGGGCGCGCGGCAAGAAGGATGGACACGGCCCCTTCCTCCCCCTGTTTTTTTTCCCTGGAGGTTGCTTTGTGGTGTTTTTTGGCAGCTTGAACCCGCTATGGCACTCGTCGGCGGGATCGACAAGGTTGGACCATAGCATCTCCTGCTTGGCAGGATGGTGCCTGTTTAGTGCTTCGTTTGCTGGTGAAAGGGCTTCGCATGCTGGCGACACTGTCATGGCTAGCGGGGGGAGGGGGGAGGTTGCTTCCATCCCACGAAGATGGAGGCGGTGAGTTTGGGCGACGAAGGTTTTCGCTGTGTTTTAGTGACAACGGGGCAACGTGATTAACGTAAAGTGGAGGAGGAGGTTCTTTTGCTCGGTCAGTTTATCACGAAAGAGGCGGTAGGTGGCGGTTTCATCTTCAAGCTTTTGACGTCACGGGATTTTGTGATATAAATATCACGAGAGGCATCACATGAGGTCGCTGCCATGTCTCTATTTTGATTTGGAGCTAGAGTCTGTGATTGGGGCTGTGTCCTTTGGGTATCATTGTCTGGTTTCTGATTCGTCATGATTTTTCCTCCTGATTTTTCCTGAATTTTGGCTGTTTTTTCCAGGATATTTGCAGAGGTTGTTTTTGAATGATTTCGTTTTTATGATTGTGATTTGTTTAAAATCTTATTCATAAGATCTTAGGTGTTTTCTGGATGTAATTGATCCTTAATCTGAAATTCTTATTTTTTGTTCTGAGCAAGATCCCTAATCTGAAATTCGTATTTTCGGTTCTGAGCAGATCCCTAATCTGAAATTCGTAATGTGAAAACGTGATGTCGTAAGATGCTCAGTCGGGGATGTACAACGGGGGGTCGACCAAAGTCATCGGGGGTTTGGCCAACTTGTCCGTCACGACGGTTGCGGCTTGGAGGATATGGCGATGCGCGTCGAACGACCGATGCATGGATGCGACTAGCATGGGCTTCAATGTCAGTTGGACGAAAAGCCACGAGTCGTAATGCGCGCGCAGATCGTCCCCACTCATCCGCATGAGCCACATGGTCGTTGTGAGCAGAATCCTCATCGCATCCACAATGTTCTTCAACCTGTCGTACGACACCCGCCGGCCGTCGATTCCCTCCGCCATGCTCACGACGCTCGTGAAAGCCGCCACCAGTCGCTGGATGCTCGCCTCTTGATACGACGCCATTTCGTCATTCTCGTGTCTATCCTCGGTATCGGCGCCGACGAACCACACTGACAACTTCATGTCCATGTCCAGTGTTGTGTGGAAGACCATGGGGCTGACACAAATACGTCATTCCTCTCCCATCCATATGGCTCGAGCGATATCAGTGGCCGCGTTGTTCAACACGTACCCGTATGCAGCGTGGTATCCCCGTTGCCTGCTCTTGGACTTGAAGACCCACCCGTGGATAACCCGCAAGCTAATGGTCTGCACCTTGAATTCCCTCTCCTTCGCAGCGTTCAACTCCATCTCGTTGTCGATTTTGTGTTGGGGGATGCTGTTGTGAGGCAAGACGATGCTTCGACGAACGGGTGGATGCTGCACTCCCCGCGCCACATCCACGAGATGAAGGCGCGCTTCCTGGATTAACTTCACAATGACGTTTCCTTGCGTTTCATTCCAGAAGCGCAAATCATCTACCCACAGCTTCGACGCCGCCTCCATTACATCCCGCCTATCCCGCCGCAACACCCTGTTCACCAGCGCTTCATCGTTCTCCCCCTCTCCGCCGACATCCCCTGCCGTCACGACATCCCCCGCGTGTGAAGCACCCCCCACAACGGCCCCCTGCGCCTCCTGTGCAGGAGAACGGTTCCTGTTCCCTTGAGCGATCGCTTGCAAACTCCCTCCAACGTCTGCAGTCGTCCGTGGTCGTGAGGTTGCTGAAGTTCGTGCGCAGACCACAGGCTCGTGCGCGTCCGGGGCGTCGTTGACACGTGAAACGGGTGCGCGATGCGGTTGTACGACACCACCTGCCACGCCCTCCCGTGATGCCGCCTCGGCTTCCATGTCGATGACGTCGTCGGCTCCTGTGTGGCTTCCACGTCGATGACGCCGTCGTCTTTCTGCAGGAGCTTCATATCCCCCCTCTTCGATTCGGAGGCCTCCCCCCGTCCGCCTCAACGGCGCTTCCTCCTCTTCCTCAAAGTCGCTCTCCTCCTGAGGCGCAACCTCCTCCCCCACCCATTCGTCGTCTGCGGTGCTTCCTGCACCCGAGGGCCCGCCTTGGACGAACTTCCTCTTCTTGTTAGCGCTGTGTCGGCCTTTTTTCTCCCGCACTGCCACTTCCATTGCCTGGTTGGTGGCGGTCTTGCCACGTCCAGCACCACGGGACGACATGGCGCACAACACAACCGCTCGCTGACTGACCAGTCGCGAAGCCGAAAAGCACGCGGTGCAATGCAAAGCGACGATGACGACGACGACGACAATAACAACGATGGAGGTGCCGCAGACGATGGTGCAGTCCACAGCGATGAAGATGCAGAAGAGAAACATGTGGCGGAGATGACGACTGGGATCGCGTTGACGATGGCGATGATGGAGACGAAGATGACGGTCGCGATCTCGTTGACGATGGAGATGATGGCGACGAAGATGACGACGATGGCAGCGACGGCGACGTCGTGTTGTGGACTCGACGACAACCACTTGCACGTTTCACCGTGAGATGAGAGCGGTCGACTACGCATGCAAGGCGGCGACCCCGCTGGAAGGCGAAGATCGTCGAGGGTGGTGGAGTGCAGCACACGACTAGCTTCGTTTCGCGGAGAAAGCCATGCGTGGGCACGAGGCAGGAGCAGGCGAACGGGATGGCGAGACGGCAAGAAGGCTGGCGTGTGGAGTCTGAAGCGCGCGTCTGGAGTCCCGACGTGGATTTGACGAGGACGCCCGCATCCTCTCAAAGACGTGCGCGACGGTGTGCATCCGTCAACCGCTACCTTTCTTGTCGCCGCCCTTGGTGAACGCTAGAGAGGGATGGACCCCGCGCGACAACACGACAGGACGGCAACCGCTAAGCCTTGCCACGCGAATGGACACCCCCGCCCACACCACCCCGATCCGGCTATCCCCAAACCACCCCCCGCC